ACTTGGAAGGAGAGCACGCATTCCTTTTCGATTCTCTTCTTCACTTTTGCATCATGGAGTGGGAAGGGGAAAAAAGTTGACGAATTTTCAAGCACGCACACACACGCTGGAACTGACGTGATCAAACGGAAAAATGGCGACACCACGGAATAATAACACATTTTAGATTATGGCCCTTTAAAAATATGAAATTATGCTAAAATAATATGTTTATCTCTACTTACATGACACATTTTACATATATAACACACATTGCCGCCATTTTCCTTCGTCAAGCTGCATTTTTGTCGCCACTTGGAATCTTTCTGATTTTCTTGCAATAAAACACGTTTTTGTATATAATCAGTGCATCACTATGCTAAACTTCACTTTGCACATCTGCGCTACATTTTACCCGTTGGATTTTTCACTATTTTCCATATTTTTGGCGAATTGAAACGCGGAGCTGACCTACAAACACGCGCTTTGACCGGGCGAAAAAATTAGAATGAGAGCGGTGCAAATGCGTTCATTCTATGCTCTCCTTCTACTCTTCCTTATTGCTCTCTCTTTCCCACGCACACTTCAACTACTTGTATAATTTCATCATGCTCCTTGTCTTCTTCCGCTGCTACTGAAAAGAGAGATCAAAAGAATGTTGGAGTGGGAGTGAGATGGAGTGACTGGCGGAGGGTTACGTTACAGTGCGCGGTGTAGGTGCAGCGCATATTGAAATTACCTAATATAAATCAATTATTTGATATTTGTTTGTGAAATTACTTAATTTAATTAAATGAATTGATTAAAAGAGAGCTTTGCAATAGCAGAAGAAGAAGACAAGGAGTAGAGCTAAGCCCAAGCAAAAGTACTCGAGAGAGCGTGGGAGTGAGAGCAATTAGTAAGAGGAGAAGGAGAGCATAGAATGAACTCATTTGCATTGGTTGCACTCAAATTTTTTCACCCGTTCAAAGCGCTTGTTCGTAGGTCAGCTCCGCGTTTTAATTCGCGAAAATTCGGAAAATGGTGAAAAATTCGAGGGATAAAATATCGCGCTGGGGTATGAAGTGAAGTTTAGTGTAGTGGTGCAGTGATTATAAACAAAAAACTGTGTTTTATTGCAAGAAAATGTGTTTGATCAAGGGCGGGGGCGCAAAAGAGGCAAAATGGCGACAAAAATGCAGCTCGACGAAGGAAAAATGCGGCAACGAGTGATATTTATGTGCAATGTTTCATAAATATGAAGATAAACATATTATTTTGCATAATTTCCTTTTTTTCATGTGCCAAAATCGAAAATGTGTAATTGTTTCGTTGTCTCGTTTTTTTTCGTTTGATCACGTGAGTTCCAGCTGTGTGTGTGTGTGTGTGTGCTTGAAAATTCGTCAAGTTTTGTCCCTTTCCCACTCCCATTACTCGGGAGTAGTAGTGGGATGCAAAGGAGAAGAGAATCGAAAAGGAATGAGTGCTCTCGTTCCAAGCGAAGTTCAAGAAAGGGTGAGGCATTCCCAATGCTGCTGATCTGACTTTCCCTTGTGCCTCCCTCTCGTGCCTCACCTTAAATAAATGTGCATTAAAATGGTGCGCTCTTTATTGGAAATCAATTTGTGCGTTTCGCTTGCGTTTTCGGTGCGGTTTCGGTGCGGTTTTGTCGTAACTCGTAGCACGGCGACTCTTCATTAGAATCGTAGACAAATTATGGGTAAGTGAGAAAGATAATTTGTTGTATAGCGAACGTTGAAAACTGACCGCCATTATAAGAATACCATGGGTATGAAAATATGTTAATTTTTGTATTGATCAATGGGAAGTGTCGGGGTGCCGTGGCAGATATTTTCCCAGCGATTAAATACGGCAACGCCCTCGTGCGTGTTTTATTTATATATATATGTATTTCTTTGGTATTTACTTTCAAAAACTTCAGTCCAGCACTTGGCATTTATCAAAATCATTTCAAAATTATGCAAATTACTTTGCCTGCAATCGGCTCGAAACTGGAACACACTTTCCCCAACAAAAAAAAAAACCTAACATAGAGCCTCAATTGACCCTAAATCATGTGACTACCGGTGAACTCTGGCCGTCTCCGGCTGGGCCGAAAGACTCTTTTCGGCCGGATAGAGCCAACACATTTTGGCCATTGTCTGGCTTGGCTTCGGGTCTTGCCGCAATTGTTGTTTGTTGTTTGTTGTGTTTCCACCATAATTCTTCTAATTATATGATCTATTACATTAGATCCAGGCATATGCATGGCCACACTTGTAACACATTTTAGCATATTTTATTAATTTAAATAATTCACTTGGGTCACTCCGGCCGATGCTAGACCGGCGATAACCCCCAGATATGGCCATAGAGATGGGGTCTGCGGAGGGACTTTGTTCAACGATCGGTGACGGACTGCGCCGGGAAGCAACTTTCATCCGTGTACAGTGTACACCCAAGAAGGTGGAAGAGTTGCCCGAAGAGAGAGAGAAAGAAAACCCAGCGAAGCGTCCAAGCGACCGCATCCACCTCCGTTAATTTGTCGAGGCCACTAATTAAATTCAGTGGAAAACTGCCGTATTTACAGGCCGGTCCGAGTCCGACTCCGAGTGCGGGAAAGACTCCACCGAAATTCCATTTTAAATGAATTATTTTACATTTGCTACATAACCGTAATGCGTTTATTATTTAACCTGCCCCGAGGCTTCGCCTTCGCATCTGCCTTCACTCTGGGGTTGGGGGGGCGAGGCTCTGCTGATGGATTTGTCGGCGCTCTGTCCGCGACGGCACTTGAGTAATGGGTGTATAAGCGACGTCTACGCCCCAACGAGATTCAAATTTTTGCTGGGCCCAAAAGGGAAGCTCTCTAGCCATCGAGACAGCTAGCCATCGAGCCATCTGACCATCTAGGGCTGAATTTGATTAATGGGGTCTTCAATTAGGAGGATCACCTGCTATAGATCTGCTTTGGTATTGCATCCTCCTCCTTTTGGTCAATCATATGTGATGCCTTAAAAATTGATTGCAGATCAATATAGAAAAGAAAATCTTCCCACAGTTCAGGTTAAAAGATTTAAACTTTCGAAATCGGTAGTCTGTAAAATTTTGCTATGAAATAAATAGATTTTCTTTGGAATATAGTCATTGGAATATCTATAACTATAAAATAATGATACTTTCATTCTAGATTTTCATTCGTAAAAAACAATAATATTTATCCCTCTTAAATAAATATCATATATGGGACTATAAGTCAATGAAGCCAGGGAATAAGTCTCCTAAATATTGCCTATTTCATAAGCATTTAATTAAAGTACATTTCATCACACAATTAGCAGGAATATTCCACCTTTTTGTACAGAAATTCCTATGAAAACCCTTTGGAAATAATGACTACAAGCTTCTGTATTTTCCCATGTTATAACTGAATTTTCCGTCATGTCCATGTACTCAACATCAATGTCAATTGTCTCATTGTTATGCCTCCCCCCCTCTCCAGAGAGGGAGAGTGCACACAGAACGCCTGGGGGACCCAGGGGCATTCGGGTGCATTTCTATCGCCGCTTTGTTACGGGTGTCAAAAGTCAACAGCCACCGTATCGTAACCGTAACCGTTTACCGTTTACCGTATGTTTGCTCTTGGCACACCGCTCGCTGGGATGAGCCAAAGGAGGTGGGGGAGCACCGGGAAATGATCAATCCATCTCATCATTAGCGCTTATTAAATGAAGCTAATCCTGGGCCACTGCAGCAGCGACGAGCCGTGCGTGTCAAGTGCCAGAGATTGGGTCAGAGATCTCTGAATTACATATTTGAATAATGGTCCGAGGGCTGAATGGGAACCCAAACCCAAATCCCAAACCCAAACAATACAAGCAGGGGAGCCCCCTTAGACGACTGTGATCCTCACGCGCCATCCGTCACTTGACAGCCATCACCGAGGGACCAGGCCAGTCCAGACCAGGCCAGACCAGACGTCAGGTTGATGTTTTGACATCACAACATCATTATCTACTCGTCTAACCCGTCGTCTACCCACTCCAGGGGCATTCTAGGGGCATTTGCCTCATCATCATCGCCGTTCCGAAGAGGTCGTACGTCGTACGAGATCCCCTGGTTATTTGGGTCTAACAGGCACTTGACCAGTTTGTTTTTGATTTGCCCAACCGCCTTGAATTGGGCCAATTAAACTGCCAGAATGGATGCCAGGCCAGGCTGTGTGGGCGGGGGTCGGTCCCACAAAAACCCAATTAGATGTCACTAGAGTAAAGAGCAGTAAAGATTTAATCATGGCCCAAACTCTGCTCTGTTGATCGGGACTGAGGGGGGGGGGGGGGGGGGGGGGGGGGGACATCCAGCCATCGTGTTTTACAGCCAAAAAGAAAGTGTGAATCAATTAGCCTCGAACCCTGGCTCTCAATCTCAATTGTTTGCTTTGGCGAAAAAAACAATTAGAGAATTTTATTGCCTTCGATTTTACTACGCCCAAAACCATTCCCCTTTCCCCTCTCCATTCCCGGGCACAATTGTCTTGTGATGTTGTCTCTGTTGGGTCTTGTTTGTTGCCGTTGTTGTCAATGTCGTAAAAGTGTTTGCAGCTCATTCCGGGGACGGGTCGCTGGCTCGCCGGGTCGCCGGGTGAAAGGCCAAGCGATAAAACCGTAAGTGCAGACACTTCAGCGGGCCCGTGGCGGGCGTGGCAGGCGATGACCGATAAGCGAAGCCAGGCTCGTGCCTCAAACATGAAGGATGAACTCCATTAAAGCAGATTTTAGGAGACTATTGGTACATCATCATCTGTGGAACCAATTCCACGTCGATTCTAACGTTCCCTTCTAAACACTGGGACATATCAATGAGGTATACTTCTATTGTCAATGGATGAAGGATGCCTCCTATGTTAAAACTCAATCTTAGATGAAGTCCTCCATCCAGCTATCCTTGCAGCAAACTTTACTCAGTAAACTCTGAAACCTACAACCAACCAACCTACAATCAAGGGATCGTTACAAAAAGTTGCTCCAGTAGACACTCGTGCCATGTCTATCCAGAATCTACACACCCGTGACCCCTTTGCCGAGGCCGAGGCCGACGCGGCTGCCATTCAGGCCCGGCCCGTGCACATCCGACTGCAGCAAAGGAATGGCGGCAGGACCATCACCACGGTCCAGGGCCTGTCCTCGGGCTACGACCTCAAGAAGGTGGTCCGCTGCTGCAAGAAGGAGTTCGCCTGCAACGGCACTCTGCTCGAGTCCCCGGAGTACGGCCCAGTCATCCAGCTGCAGGGCGATCACCGCTTGAAGATCCATCAATGGCTGACCAAGATGCAGTTGGCCAGCTCCGATCAGCTGAAGGTCTGCGGCTTGTGAGGACTAGGCCTAGGCCTAGGACCAAACCGTTTGAGTTGTTGTAAAATGTTCTAAAATATATCAAGCTACAGAATCGAATGGTCCCCCTCTGGATGGTTTGACGTCTCTAGTGTGGGGCACAAATTTGTCAGTGACTCGTCAAGTGCCTCGTCATCGTCATCGCGGAGCCGTCAGCGGCGTCGTCATGGTTCGTTCTATGTTGAAAGGGAAAGAGACGTGGAATGGGGACGTGGAATGGGGACCACGGCCGAGTGTTTGGCACGCGCTCTCTCTCTCTCTCTCTCTCTCTCTCTGGCCGATCGGCCCTGCCTCTCGCTTGAAAATGATTTGTTTGTGTTGTCCGATTCTGACAAGTGTTGTCATTAAGCCTGTCCAAACATTTTCGCTTTAGGGAATTGACAAATAACCAAATTTGTACGAAATAAATCAGAAATTGGCTGTCCAGTGCACAGGATCATAAATTGAACTGCAAAGATGGGAAAAATTGAGGAAATAATAAATGATATATGTATCTATCTATAGATTGTATAGCCATAAGTATTTTTGGTGTGGTTTTTATATACAAATTTTTGTTCAATGACAGCTGAATATATAGCCAGAATTTATTAATTACGTGGGGTATATAATATATATACACTCCCGGTCAATATAATAGATTCAATGCATTTTCTATGTGAAAATTAATTTAAAAATCAAGAATTGAGAAAAAAAAAAATTTTTTTAATCCTGAAAATACCATTTCTTAACAAAAAAAATTAAAAATTGTAGTTCCAAATCAAAAGATTTTTTAAAATTTTTTTTGTTGTACACTGCCGGTCAATAGAATTGACTCAATGCATTTTCTATGTGAAATTTAATTTTTTAAATCAAGAAACATTTTTTTTTAATATTTAAAATATCATTCCTTAATAAAAATAATTAAAAATTATAGTTCTAAATCAAAAGTTTTTTTTTACATTTTTTTTATATGTTTGGACCTAAAAAAAATTGATATATTTATCGATCAATGGAATAGACTCAAGTGTATATATTTTTAAGATTTAGATTTGGTCTCTTTTATTGGTATTGTATGAAAAGAGTGGAGGATATACCCAGAAGGCTTGTCTAATATTTTTCATATATTTTGATTGATGGCCCAAATCAAAGCCCTTTGCAAGAAATGTCCAAAACAATCAACGTTTCAAAGAGAAAAGATCTTGGGCCTGGGGCAATCAAATTTCTTTTATTTCAATGTATTCCGAGCATTGATTTGTGCACTGCCGGGTCCCATCCCCAGTCCCCAACAATAACTGAACTTTGATCATAACTGAAGCCATAATTATGGGTCTAGGCGGCTTAGGAGGGAGCATTTTATGTGTGCCTGCAATAAAAATAAAACTGCTTTTGAAAGATATACATATACTTTACCCACGGCTGGCCGAGATGCACGGAACGAATCTTTATTTATGGCATAATGATCGTCCGAGTCGGAGTCGGAGTCCGCGTCTAAGTCGGGAGTAGGGAAGGAAAACTGTTGTTTTTTTTTTTTGGGTTCTGTTCCCAATATACCGTCGTATCCGTCTCATCGCTTTACGATCAATGTTCAATTCTTTGTTTGTGTGTGTGTGAGTGGAGTGGGGCATCATCTGGCCCTGGCCGCTCGATAATTCTTTATTATTTCTCTAAAACTTCACCTTTAATTAAACACGAAACGAAATTATAAAATTGTACCTGCTTTAGCAGCCGTCGGTCCCTATCCAAGTCCAAGTCGAAGTCCAAGTCGAAGTCAAAGAGTCGCAGTCGCGGGTCGCATCGGTTGTGTACCCTGTAGGAGAGCTGGGGGAGGGGTATATAGGTTTTTTTGGGGATGCATGTGCAACACGCAGAGTGAAGAGTGCCCCTTGAGCTATTGGGAGCCACCTTTTGGCCTATCCAGGAGTAACCATTCGTTCAGCCCCTGTCCTGGCTGTACCCATCGAATACACCACCATATAGCCTGCAATAGTAGGGGGTATAGGGTACTCCCCTAGTCGTATCCTTTCTGTACCCTTCTTACTTGTTTTCAACTGTTTTCTGTGGGGGAATTTCTACCTGGACAGTACACGCGGCGCATCGCATCGACGGTGTCTCTGTCTCCCCCCCACCCCTTCCCTCTGCCGCTGCCGATGCTGCCTCTGCCGCTGCTCATCTGCCTGGCCCGCTTTTGTCTTGTGTGTGTCCCCAAATTCGATCAATTTAGATACAAACACCCATTTATGCATCAGTACCTTTTATTAAACTACTCGCTCTCTTGCTCTCTCGCTCGTCTCCCTCTCTCTCTGCCGTCGCTCTCCCTCTCTCTCTCTGCTTGCACGCGTCTTGGTATTTGTGTGGGTTGCCCGCTGCCAGCAAATACAACGTGCTGCCTTAATAAGCCCGTTAATGGAATATTAGGCAAAGAGGGGGTGGGGGGAGAGGTCCATACGCACATGGTGACAGAGACAAACACTCCGATTGAGTGGGACAAAAACGAAGAGAGAACCGAATCGATTCGGAGAGTGGGAGTGCGGGAGCGAGGGAGAGACAAGAGTCGGCGGCTGCTGCGCTACCGCTTAGTCGTAGAGTTTAAGGGGTATATGGGTTGGAAGAAGTTTCGGAGCTGTTATATTCCTAAAAGCATACAATGATAGGCTTCTGATGCCCTGTAGTCCCCCGTTTTCCCCACCTGAAGCACCCCCTGCACTTCTCTACGGCCTGTACGCCACACCAGGTATCGCCTTGTCGAGTCGCTCTCTCTCCTCTCTGCTGCTGCGCTGCTTCTTGCTCATCTTCTTATTCTGATTCTCTTTTGTTGTTGTGCTCCCGTGAGTGTGTGCTGTGGCTGTGGCAACGATCGAACGATTTTAGTGCTGGAATGCAATAAAATTGTATTTTTGTTTTGTCCGATTTGATTCAAGTTTTATAGTTTGTCCACAGACTAGCGGAGTGCACACGCACACCCAAAAAAACAACAACAACCCATGATACTTGATACACAATACAATGACAGAAATTCCTAAACTGGTACAGGTATCTACCGTCGTACCTGAATTCGATTTACAAAACTTGGACACTTCTTTTGGGCCTCAAATGATGCTTATGAGGAATCCATTGGATATAAATCGAGCGTCTGGGAGTTGAATTTTCTATATTTCGAACTAAAGAGGGGGTCTATAGCATTTGGGGAGTCGTTTAGGGAGACTTCTGTGGGTCGAAGTCGCCATAAGTGGAACGTTTTCTTTGGATTATAGTGGTTCGACTTTGGTTCGACTTATGGGAGATCAACTTTATGTACTTTAGAGATCCCTATATGTATATAATAATGAGATATAGTATATAAATCTATACATATATAGTTAGCTATAGTTATATCTATAAGTTAGGTTAGTTTAACCTGGATGGCCCTCAGCGGTGCCCCACATACGCCCCAATATGGCCCTTAGTTGTCCGGATATGAGGGGGTATGAGCCGTAGCGGCAGTGTTTGGGGGATTTTAGGGTCCTCAAAAGCCGGACAGTTGCAGATGAGATGTTTCAGGGTTTCGCCACACTTTCTACAGCTGTCTCTGTTTGCTAGACAGTGTCCTATTATATCTGTAGATCTAGTTATGATCTATAATAGTTCTTGGACGGAAAATCAACAATTTCACTACCGTAGTTTTCACCTGTTAGCCAGCGAAATATAAATGATCACCCCAATTGCTACTTTTTTATAAGAAAGATACAATTTTTAGAGCATACAGTCGAATTTCTCCATTACGAAGGGGAATATTTTGAAAAACCATAAAACCATTTTCATTTTAAAGATTTGGTTCTTATTTGCCATTCCTGAAATATAAATAGCAGCCCTCGTATAAGGAATTTATTTCCAAGCAAAATAAAAGGGAGAAGACAATTATGGGGAAGATCCGAACTAGAAATGTGACGAAAACAATGGATTAACAGGCACTTCATACCCTTGTGGAAATGGGAAATATTGCGCCTTAAACCTCTTTACTTATTTAACGTCCTTGAAGTATTTTGTATAAGGAAAAGTGATATTTTTTCTGAATTCTATATTACGAATCTTGTGTATATGAAAATAAGTACAAATTTCTATAATTACGGGCTTCACTTTGTCTTAAAAGTTGCAGAAAATCCCAAGAATATTGAAGAATAGTCTACTACTTATCTACCTAAAACACTCCACTAAGTATAACCCTCTCTAAGCAGCATCTGATCTTCACCTAAGAACAAGTTATACCATTTGTGCCCTTACCATTACCCTTGGAAGTGTCTCTTTCTTTTTAACCAGATTCATGATTTCGATGGATGGGGGATTATTTATGCCGATACTCGCACTAAAACCGAAATTAACATAATTTGATCGAGCGGTACACCAAGGGAAGGGGCGATGCATTTTTTATGATCCCATGGCAACGGCAATCACGGGGCTGGGAAATTATTACGAGGAAAACGATACCTTTCCACCGCGCCCGCTCTTTCTTCGTCTTGGCCACAAAAATAATGAACAAGATGCTTTCTTTCCATCTTTACATTTATCTGCAAGGAGGATCTGGGTATTAAAGCAATGAAAAGAGAGGGACAGAGAAACGAGGGTGGGGGGGGGGGATCCATCCAACTAGACAAATGTTATTACCAAAAACGAAGACAACGACCGACCCCAAAGATCTGTGACTAAATTTATTCAAAAGAGATTCGAAAAACGTCGCGCTGTGCTTCATTCTCTCCCCTTTCTTTCGTTAATTTGAAACAGTTTGATACTTAGACACAGGTCTGTGTGGCATCCACAAAAGATACGGCATATGGGATACCTAGGCACCCATACTGGCACTCAGACTAAAGGTAATTCCAATACGTGTGTGACTGCCATTAGAGGAAAGTACTTTGGATGCCGCCGTCGCCATCGTTTTTGGGTAGGGACCCTCGATGGCACTGCCCCTGCCCCAGCATCCAGAGCTCTTGCATTGCCACGTCTTTCTCCCGCTGGCCTGCCCCTGTTCC